CCATCCATCTTAAAGTAGCTAAGGTTGAGAAACATTGGTACAATGAATTCAACAAATGTCGTTGGAGGGCACCCTCAGGGAACAATACTTTAGGCCCTTTTAGATATCTGTAGGACAAGCCTTCCCAAATTCCTTGATCCTGAAAAAAGAATGAAGCATAATGGTGAGAGAAGATGTGATTTTTTCTGCCTTCACCTGGTAGAAAGCAGGTTCCAGAAACCAGTGTTTCCAAAGGAGGACGGGCCGAATGGACTGTTTTTGCTCTAGAGGTAATAGGGGACTATGTTCATCTGCCTCAGGCAACCTGGAAACTGTCCGCTTATTTTCTTTGGTCCCAAGATGGAAGAGGAGCGAAGAAATGGAGCCACATCCTATCACAATCAGGGATAGGTTCTAGAGTGGGGAACAGAGGCAAAATAAGAGAGAAAGGTTAGAACTGCAAGACTAAATCAAGGAAGTGGATCTTTTATGAAGAGGGCGGGGGGAAGGAACTTGGCCATGATTTTCAACGACTTTAGCAGTACCATCTTGCCAAACACCCACCCGAAAGACAGGAATGTCATGGCGCCCGAGGTGCTGGGTGAGTTTCTTTGTCTCTGTGGGATCGATCTGGAAGTGCAGGAGGAACCATGCCACTCCATACACCGTGATGTTGGCCATGACAGTGAAGGCATACCTGAAAACAGGAAGAAGACCAGGCAGAGCTGATTAAGCATAGACTACAACTGGAAAAAAGAGGATTGGTTCATATCTATGCCCATCAAGTCCCAGGCCCCACCCTGGAAATTCAGGTTCTTTTCTCTGTTTTTCCCACCATCTGGGCATAGAAGATCTGGGGAAGATCCTCCAAGCTGCTAAGGAGGAAACTGCTAGTTGTGTAATTTGGCTTGCAAAAAATGTTATTTGCTGGGTTCCTGCTTTTTACTCAGCCCAGCTGGATTCACTCCTTTTTGACTTTCTTTTTTTTAAGTTAAGAAACTTAAAAGGAAAAACTGTATTTTTCAGAGTATAAAATGCACTTTTTTCACCCCCAGAAGTGGGTGGAAATGTCTGTGCATCTTATACAGTGAATGTTGCCCAAGCCCCAGCCACCCACCGGTCCCCACCCTTCGGCGTCTGCCTCCCAGCAATTTGCCTCCTTGCAGCAAACAGCAATCTATCTATCCTTGCAGCAAACAGAAATCTGGCAATCTCCACCACCCAGAATGGGTGGAAAATGGGGCGGCAGAAGCTAAAAACGGGATGCGGAGGCCAAAAATGGGGTGTACAGAGGCAGCAATAGGCCATGGCAACCCCCTGCAGCCTGAAACAGCTGATCATGGGGAGGTCGATCCAACTAACAACCAGCTGCTTGTGCTAATCAGGCTGTGCTGAAACTGAAACTGAAACAGGCTGTTTGCTGTTTGTTGCAAGGAGGCAAATTTCTGGGAGGCAGAGGGCAGATTTTTTTTTTCTTGTTTTCCTCCCCCAAAAGCTAGGTGCGCCTTATACTTCGGAGCATCTTATACTCCGAAAAATACGGTCTTTATAGGACATTTCACATTGTTTCTACAGCCTTCACGTAATGACTACTTGTTTAGCAACTATTTGAAGTTATGATGGCTCTGAAAAAATGTGATTTATGACCAGCCCTAGCACTTAAAACCATTGCAGCATCCTTGTGGTTATGCCATTGTGACCCGGGTGCTTGGCAACTGGCTCAAACTTATGACACTTGCAGAGTCCTGCAGTCACTGGATTGCCATTTGTGATCTTCCAAGCCAGCGCCTGACAAGGGAAGGCAATGGAGAAGCCAGCAGGGGGTTGCAAGTCACATTATTCAATTTTAAATTTAATTTTAATTTATTAAAAACTATTGAAATACCTCAGATGTTAATTTCAGTTTACCTAAATAAATAATGAGCTATGGTGGGTAATGACTGCTAACCTTCAAAGGATATCTTAGAACAAGGGTATCAAACTCTAGGCCTGGATCCGGCCTGCAGGGTGCTTAGATCTCGCCTGCGGGCCTCCCGTGCCAGTGAAGGACCTGCCTGCGGTGCCTCTGCCAGCAAAAACGGAGCTCAGGGAGGCTGCATGTGGCCTTCTTGAGCTCTGTTTTCACTGGCAGAGGGCTGCAGGAGGCTGTCGCGGCCTAAAACAGAACCTAAGAGGGCCGTCGTGGCCGAAAACAGAGCCTCAATGAGTGACATCAAGCTGGCCATGCCCATCATCCCCCCTCCGCCCCCCCCCGAGGTCAAACACAACCCTGATGTGGCCCTCAATGAAATCGAGTTTGACACCCCTGTCCTAGAACTTTGAAGATCATCCATTGCAGTTTAGATGCCTGGAAGCACTTCTTACAACCTAAGAATTGATCCTGCAGTTGTAAGTTCACTAATCCACATTTTTTTTTCTTTCTAGCATTTTCTTGTAGGAAGAGGAACCATGTTTTAGAAGTATTTATTTACCTATCAATCAAATTTATTGGCCTCCATAGGGTACCAATGCTGATCCATTTGTGGCGACTGGAATGGACCAACAAGCTTGTTGCTTGAGCTGATATCCTGGGCAAAGAGAAAGTGACTGGCCCAAAGTCACCCAGCTGATTTCATGCTTAAGGCAGAACTAGAACTCACATTATCCTGGTTTCTAGCCTGGTGCCTTAGCCACTCGGCCAAATTGGTGTTCACACATACTCAATGCCCTTGGACACTCTGCACTGTGCTCACTAGTTGACCGAGAATTTCTTGGTGTAGAGGTCAGTGGGATGGTTTACAACAAGCCAGGCATGTTGGCCAAATAGCGTCAACAAGGTTTGAGAGGATGATCCACTTTCCTATCAGATCTTACCTGAAAGCTGTGAGCTCCACCTTCTCATGGTCAGTAGTGACCAACTCTGGTATGAGCGAGAGGTGAGAGATTTGGGTGGCTGCCCAGCCAAACTGGAAGATGATAATAAATGGGATGAAGTAGATGAGCGCAGCCCACTCAGGTGTGTTCTCCGTGCAGCCGATGCATGGGCTGAAGATGAAGGGGAAGGAGACCAGAACACAGAGGGTCCCTGTGGAGAGAGATGGTCAAAGTACAAACTTGAGTCTATAGAGATTCTCAATCATCCAGACCACGGTTGTCCCAAAGGTGCTTTTTCCAAAAGGCAACTGGACTTTTCTTGGCTTTTTTCCTTTGAAAATATTTCACTTCTCATCCAAGGAGCTTCTCCTAGAACTGTCAGAACTGAACTGTTCTTCAGTTAGAACTGAAGAAGCTTCTTGGATAAGAAGTTAAATGTTTTTTTTTAAATTAAAAAAAAAAACCAAGAAAGTCCAATTGCATTTTGAAAAAAGCATCTTTGGACAAGCTTGAAAGAGGCAATCTAGGATTGTAAACAGATGAGAGAAACAACAAAGTTTGAGGCTGCTGGGCTGGAATAATAGTGTTGTTGTTGTTGTCTTCAATCAGATTTTTATAGTAAGAAAGGTATATATTGAAGTTTAAATAAGAGTTGAATGGATGTAATTAAAAGATATAAAGGTGTCATACTCCAATTAGTAACTACAGGAGAAAATTTGTTTAATGATAATGATAAAGATAATATGAAATTGAAACAAAACAGACAAAAGTATAAATATAATGATTTGAATTGAGATGAGATAATCAAAATAAAATTGAGAAAATTAAAGGGAAAAACTATATAGAAAATGTAAAATAGTATAAGATATGGAATAGAATACAAAAAGGAGCATGAAATTGAATTTTGTGTCTGCATAAAGAAGTTCAACCTGGGACCATGCTATTTTCAAAAAAGATGTTTTACTTGTATTTTGTATGCGTGAAAACCCAAATAAAACTTTATTTAAAAAAAAAAAAAGAGCTTACATCCATTCCTCTAAGTCCAGCACTGAAAGAAAATAGCATTTCACCTCTCCTCCTACTTGGTATCTCTTCGGGTATTTGAAGAATACCATCATATGCCGCTCAACAATCTTTTCTCTAAACCAGCATTTCTCAACCTCAGCAACTGTAAGATATATAGATTTAAATTCTCAGAATTCAAGAATTCTCCAGTCATCTCCGTAGTTTGAAGTCCATATATCTTAAAACAAAGCTCTTCAAATTTGGCAAGTTTAAGACTTGTGGACTTCAACTCCCAGAATTCCTGAGCTAACATGACTGGAAGAGGAATTCTGGGAGTTGAAGTCTATAAGTCTTAAAGCTATCAAGTTTGAAGACCCCTGTCTTAAAAATTGCTTCAGCTGAGAAACACTGCTCTAAACTTAAAGAACATATATTTTTTACTTCTTTGAACATTCATTCATTCCTCAGTAAAGTCCGCAAACCACCCACTATCTTTTTGCAGCTACAATGGAGCCAGTTTGGTGTAGCGGTTAAGGTGCTGGCTAGAAACCAGGAGATTGTGAGTTCTGGTTCCATCCTAGCATGAAAGCTGGCTTGGGCCAATCACCAGGAGACTGTGAGTTCTAGTCCTGCCTTGGGCATTAAAGCAGGCTGGGTGAGCTTGGGCCAGTCACCCTCTCTCAAGTCAATTCAGCTCACAAAATTGTTGTGGGGAAAAATAGAGGAAGGAAGGAGAATTAGGTATGTTCACTGCCTTGAGTTACTTATAATAAGCAGGGATAAAAATTGAATACGCACACATTCACACTACCCGCTTGTCTCTAAAATCACCCAACCACTCTATATGATTTTACCTATATACACAGATTAAACAACCAAGAGGATATTCTGTTCTTGTTAATTCTCCCCTTGCTCAGTTCTGACCTATTTGCTGAGCAGTCTATTTATTCTCCTGAAAGCTTTACTGTATTTCCTTTTCTATGGTTTCAAGTAGGATTCTGCCAATGTAATCTCAGGCATGCTTAATAAACTAATTCCTGGAGTTATTGCAACCATTCTTGCTAAGTTTTCCTTTGCACAGAAGAACACTAAGATAATTTTCCAATTGTTAAGCTCAGATACAATTTTCATATGTGCCTTCACATTCTACAACCACTCCGTAAGCAAACCACACAAGTTCCACGATGTTTCTCCTGTTGCACCTGTTACACCTACATCTTTACTGTGGTTCAATGTTCTCATAACATGTATGACTTCCTTTCCATGTGGACCATTCATTCCACCTGAGATTAGATTAGATATGATCCTGCTGGCCTTTCATTAAAGGCCCTGAAAATTTGGTTTGCAGCCTTGGCTGTGTGATGGAGCTGCCTCTTGTCGATGGTTGTTTTTATGATGCTCAGCTGCTATGCATATTTTTATTTTAGTCACCTCTTATCTATTTTATTGGAAGCCACATAGGTAGATGAGTAGCCATTTAAATCTAATAACTCCATTTCAATTCCAATTTTTATCCTTTACAAATTTGATAATCATTCCCTCCATTTCTCCACCATAATCACTAATTAAAATGTTAAAGAGTAGAGGAACCAGGACAGGTCCTTGTGGCCCTCTGCTAGATACCTTGCTCCAATCTGACATGGGGGTATTTACCCTGTTTCTCCAACAATATGGCCTCCCCCAATAGGAAGTCCCAGCATGTTTTATAGGCATGAAATGAAATTAAGCCCCTCCCCCCAAATTAAGGCCTATATTAAAACATGCAAAATGGGGGGGAATGGTGGGGGGGGGCTTGCCGTTAGGAAGTACTTTTGTTGCACACCCAGATATGGTGCTGCCTGCGTTGACCCCGATACGAAGTGCCCCACCAATGCCGAGGTCAACATCCAAGCCATCGCCGCCCGCCCACCTGAAGATGCAAGGGGGGGGAATTAAGTCACCCCCCGAAAAGATGGCCTAACCATTTTTTCGGGGCTCAAAAAAAAATAAGACCCGGCCTTATTATATGAGAAACACGGTATTTATTTATTCATTCATCTAAGCTATACCTCCTGCTAAAATTCTCACGTCTGTTTGTCTGTAACCTTCGCTAGGGTGAAATGGTACATTTCAGGGTAACAATTTTTGCGCCAATGTATTTCAAATGCGCTAACTTACAAAATGTGTCCAAAATCTGGGAGTCCATCATTCCTGTGGGATTGAAATTTGGCAGAATTGTAGCTGCTTCAATGCCACCATACCTGCTGACTACACTTCCCAGAAATCTGTAGGTTGTGTGGCACAAATAAATATGGGGGGGGGGTATATCTGTCCTGTTTCCTGCCTCCCTCTGGTCCCTGTGCCCTATCGGCTGTCAGCAAAGCATGATGGATGAGTGGCAATTGCCTGCTTTGGAACCAATGCTGAAATCTGAAATCTCTAAAAATTGGTGGGCAGTGAGAGAATGACCAGGGAGCTGGCGAGATAGGGCTGGCTCAAGGGTGAGAGCTGACAGTCAATGAGTGATCCCTTGGATTGTACCAAGATTTGAGCAGGGATGCAGTTTCCCCCCACAGTTTGCAGCTTTCTTTGTTCCCCTCACCCTCCTAGTTGAGTGGCAAGCAGTTTCACAGGTCAGCCAAGGAGAATAATTAATGACTTTCAGTGCTACCTGCCACCCTCTGGAAAGCAACATCAATGGAGAAGCTGGGAGTAAATCTTAAATTGCTTCCGCTCCCACTGCTTTTTTATTTTTGGCTTGCCTGTGGTCATTTCATTTCTGTTTAGGTAAGGGAATATTTCTGAAAGGATGACCCAAGGATTACTACATCTCTTGTGTTTGCCTGCTTGTAGCCTTCAATTGGGTGAAAGGGTACATCATAAGGCATCCCTCTTTGAGGGAGATGGGCGGTTCAGAAATATGAAAAATAAAGAAAGAAAGAAATAATAATTCTTGAACCAAGGTACCCCAAACGGCCCACTTACAAAATGCACCCCAAATCTGGGACCCATTACTCCTGTGGGATTGAAATTTGTGGCAAAGTTGTAGCTGCTTCAAGTGCTGCCACAGTCCAACTTGATCACGAGATCATCATTTCCAACACTCCCAAAGGTGCTTTTACAAAAGTCTACCAGATGTTGTTTTTTCCTTGAAAACTTTTCACTTCTTATCCGAGAAGTTTGTTTCTTCAGTTCTTGGATGAGAAGTGAAACGTCTTCAAGGAAAAAAAACAAAGTCCAGTAAACTTTTGAAAAAGCACCTTCGAGACAACCATGACCTGGATGACTGAGAATCTCCATAGACATTTCCAGCACTCACTTCCAACTTCCCACGAGGAAAGTCAATGGGGAAGCCAGTGGGAAGCTGCAAGTTCCAGACCAACAGGCAGGTCAAGGGCTGCTGCCTGGTGGGGGAAGGACTTGGAGAAGAAAGCAAGTGGGGGACACTTACCTGAGCACTTGCAGCCTTCCCTGCTAGCTTCTACATTAGCTTTCCAGGGAAGCCAGCAGGGAAAGTTGCAGGTGGTGACCGTGTGATTGTGAGGCACTGCAACTGGTCATGTGTGTATCGGTCACCAAGTAATCAGATTGTGATCACATGACTGTGGGGGTATTGACACAGCTGAAACTCTAAGAACAGGTTGTAATCATGACAAAATTCTGGTCATTGCATCACAGCAATCATGATTTGTAATTGCTGATGCTCCCTGTAAACTTCCCACAAGCAAAGCAAATGCGGAAGCTGGCAAGAAGTTGGAACTCATTCTTGTTGCTCTTGGACTGCAACAGTGACCTGACTTGATCTCTTTAGGTAAATAAATACCTCTGAAACAATGACCCAATGAGCCAAAATTGTCTACTTAAAATTTATTAGCTATTAGCAACCAGGAGTATTTCTCCAATAGAATACCAGCATACTTGATTTAAAGTAGCTTAATCTGTTTCCATTTCAATGTATTACAAATACTATATTACAAAACTGTATTGCTGCTTTCTGTTTCATCTTAATACACCAAAAGCAGTTTCTTCTAACCTGGCTCTCTCCAGCATCTTGGGATTCCAAGCAGGGCCTTGGAGCTGGATACTGGAAGCTGCAATCCCAATGTTTGAAGGGCACCAAACAAGAGAGAGCTAACGTATGCTGATATGGCACAGGGGTTTGGTGAAATGGGCTGGTATCTTGGATGCCCAGTTCAAATCCCCACTCAGCCACAGTTGTCATTGGTG